GTGTATCCCCCAGCTATACGTCTGGACAGAGCATCCCAGTCTGTCTCACTGACAAATTTCATAATCTTTGTGCTTGCTCTTGAGAGGGATTTTTGGCTCCTTGTTATGTACTGCTGTCTTTGGTATAATCAGGAACATTCAAACTTATTAACAGTGACAAGATTGTTTTAATGTGAGATTGTCCTGAAGTCCAAGATGTTTTTTTGTATATTAACACGTGAACTCAAGTGTGTTTGGAGGCCACAGAGGAAACTGCCTTTCCTTGTTCCTGCTAATTAAAGTTCAGTGTGTTCTTTTCCCTGCATGCTTTACGATGGGGCAGGGTAAACTTCATGATGGTCCTCCAAGGACTTTAAAACATACCAACCTCTCTCTCACCTTGTGGCTAGTTAACACTTTGTTGCTAAGTCTCATGATTTTTACCATAATGTTGATTTTCTCTGTTATTCTCAAATTAATATTATAAAGACAATTAAAATCATTGTGCATGACCCAAGTATGCTTTGAGAAATCTGCTTATGGTCATACTTATCTGTCAAGTTTTTAGCAGGCTGTAAGAAGTTATAGGTTCTAAGTGATTCAGTGATTCAGTGTGCTGCACTCGTGGTCTAAGACTCATCTATAAATGGCCTTCCACAGCACACACAAAGCACTTCTTTTACCAAACTAAAAGACATCATGACCTAATATAGTAATCAGCATGATCTGTCTATTCCACAATTTACATGTCATAGTTTAACCCATAAACTTATGCAGTTATTATTTGTTGAGTAAAGATAAAGTTAAACTATCCAAACAGAACACTGTGACCTCAAAGTGCAAAGGATTTGAGATTTAGTGGAGGAAGGCAATGGGAAGGGAGAAGTTAAGGACTAACACTACTAGAAGAACAGGAACACTGTAGAAAATGTCAAGGAAGAGGCAACTCTTTCTAAATAGATTACATGGGAGATGGTCCTTGAAGGATGAGAGTATATTGATTGGCAGATATCAAACAGGAGTTACAGGCATTTGACCTTTCACATCATTCACTTTGGTTAAATGTTCCATTTCCACCCACCATCCTCAATCTTGCCTATTGAGATTATTAGTTATTTTAGCATTATTAAATCATCATTAAAGACTTAAATATTAAATATTATTAAACTATTAAAATTATACAAATGTTATATTATTAAATTAATTATTAATTTTCAATCTACTTGAATTGGTAACCTGAGACCAGGAGGCAAACATGTTAAAATTATACAGCTTGCTGCCTCCCTGTCTGTAGATAGAAATTTCTCCATAGGCAGCTAGGCTTGTTCTGGGCAGTACTTCTTTTTTCTAGTTACATGTACTCTGGCTGAAATGTAAACCCACCAAAATTGTTAGACTAATTTTAATTTTACCTGAATACAGAATCTGTGATTTAAGAAAATGTATTCAAAGCAACTATCCATATTATATTTTTCAAGTGGTAGAAATGATCCCAGCTTATGACTATATATAGTCATATAGATAGATAGATAGATAGATAGATAGATAGATAGATAGATAGATAGATAGATAGATAAATTTAAGGAATGCTGGATTTTTAATGCTCTTTAATATACAGGGTTGAGGGCTTGCTTAATGAAAACCCTGAAAGGAAAAGTTCTTGTCTCCACCAAGTAAGTACGAAGTTGGTAGAAGAGCTGAGATAAAGGCCTTCCACGTGTGAAGGAATGCATGTATGTAGCTTTGCACACCAACATTAACCATCCATAAGGCAGGCTTCTTGTGAGAGGCAATATTTCTAGGCAACTCTTTGAAGAAAGTATATGGTTTGGAAGGACACAGGAAATGAAATCCCGAAGTTTGTTCTGTCAATATGCAGGTCATGCTCCTTTTCAAGGCTTAAGCATATCACTTGACCTTTCTAAATAATTTTCCTAATTTCTTGCACATATTTATGGGACAGGGTACAGTTTTTCTATAGAAACAGAGAAAGGAATAGTTCTACATAGAAGAAGAAAACCACGGGTTAAGAACTCTTATGAAGGATTGGAGTGGAGGGATGAGAATCTGTGGTCGGGATGCAATGGATGAGAGGAGAATAAAACAAGCAAACAAAAAGAGAGCGCTTGTGAAGCCAAGTGTGGTGGCTCACACCTGTAGTGCCAGTACTCAGAAGGCAGAGGCAGGAGAGTCAACAGAAGTTTGAGGCCAACCTGGTCTACCATGGGAATTGCAGGCAAGTCAAAGCTACCTGGTCATACGTTGTCTTACATAGCAGCAGCAGCAGCAACAGCAGCAATAACAGCAAAACTGAAACCAACAACCAGCTAAACCAATCCGATCTTTTATGAGCACTAAACTACAGTAAAAAGTCAGCCATCCCCGTGTTAAAAACCTATGGTCTGTGTTGAAAACTCAAGTGACTGTCAACAAATCAATTATTCTTTTACATTTCAAAGCTGCATCTTAGGCTGACTCATCTCTCCCACTGTCTTGGATTGTTCTTGCTTGTGCCGAATGAATACATTTTATTCTCAACACAGCAGACAGGCTGCTTCACACTTCTTTCCCGAGTATTTAGACTATCGTTTTCTTCTGTTCTCTGTACCTCCCTGCTTAGTGGAAACACTGTTTGTTCTTGGATTGCGCTTCATCTCCCTTTTCAGGATCATCAAAGTTACTAGTTTGAAGCGTCCCCAAAGAAAGAGCCTTCTAATCCCTAGTTCAGAGGCTAACCTTTATTAGTGCTCTCCTGGTTATAATGAGGACCTGCTTCCAGCAGGGAGAGGCTGGAATACTGAACAGATTATTCAACAAGTTCAGAGCAGATTCTGAAGTTCCTTATACAACCTGCTTGTGAATACCTCTTTCTTTGCTTTACTGTTTCTGGTTTCCATAGTTTTCCTAATTACGTAAATCATGTGGCACATGGGAGCAATTTTCTACTCAATATCAGTTCTGGCACTTTGCTATACATTGAAGTCTAATTTTTCCCCCAAGTTATACATTTTCTTAAATTGTTATGGAGATTACAAACTCTGAAAACAGTCATTTTGTGCTAGAAAAATGTAGGAAATGCTCTTTTGAAATCTGTTGGGCTGGCATAAAGAGCCTGAAAATTATTTTGTGAGGCGTATAGATGAATAAGACTGATGAACATCACAGAATTTTCTCAGATTTAAAGTTGAGATTAACTCTAGCATCCAAATCTTATAAATTTATCACCTTGCTTCCTGATTTATCTAACTTAAAAAGATTAACACCTACATTAACTGCTATAAGTAATGCTTTTCAGTGTTTAGAAAGTGTACTGGATTGAGTGAGTATACAATTAAAGCTGTATAAATCAAAATGAAATACGTAGCAATCTGTGGGCATTGTGTTAGCAAGCTGAAATGCGAATGGTTCCAGACTGTGTTTAGTTGTGCAAAACTGATATCAAAATTGACTTGTCTTATCCATCTTGATTTTGAAAGATTGAAGACTGTAAGTCATATTTCTCTCCTTACCTTTTCTTTTATGGTAGTACAATGTTTTACATATGTCTCTGTGTGTGTGTGTGTGTGTGTGTGTGTGTGTGTGAGTGAGACACCTATTTACTTAAAACCTATAGAGAAAAGTAGTTGCTATGAGTGTTGAAGAATAGGCCTAATAGAATTTTAGGAGTTAGTTTCTCAAACTGGATGACTGGATTTCACGCATACATCTGCAAAGTCACCACATTATACATTTTGATTTTCATGACAGCAGGAGAAAATCTTAAAAACTTTGTCTCCAATATTTTTTGAAGCAATGAACACACTAGAATTTTAAGTTGTGCTTTGATAGGGAGCTGGAGAACACAGTGTCCTAAAATGCATGATTTCTTAACTAAGAGTAAGATTTAAACACCAGTAGCAAAGGTCATTTGCATAACTCAGCCTCTCACTAGCTCAGCTGAGCTTAATTGTAATTCAGTTTCTGCATTGCAATGCTGGGCCTCTCTCTATAAAATATGCAACATATAACATAACCAAGGGCACAGACCTACTTTCTTTGCTTGTGATCTACTTAAATCATTTTTCTAGCAGAAGTGTGTGTAAGAATAATATAGCCAGGATCTATATCTCTTTTACATGTTTATCTTTGGTATATATTTAAGTAAAGACCATATTAAATAAAAGTGATATATTTTTTTCTGGGCCTAAGATTTTGTTATTTATTTCTAGCTTTTCAGAGAAAAAATAAATTTGAAAAATATTAGCTAGCTGCCATGTCATTTGAGTATTTTACACTACACAGACTTTATGAGCTAATCATGTGAAAAAGTGTATAAACATGTCTGTCAAGTTCACATGGATGTTACATTACAGGCCCGCAAGTAAATACCTTTATATGTTAAAAAACTCCTGCTGGGATACCATTCCTAAATCTACCACTAGCTTATATATTCTGGGTACTTGGAAACACAAGGGTATGAGAAAATCTTTGCTTAACATTCTCCCCTCTTATATTTAAACAGTCTTCACCCTGTTTCATGGGTTGCTTTAACAAATGTCAATGACAGGCCTGGGATAGGAAGGCTGATAAAGGTGAGGATTATATTTTATGAATAATTTCCAGATGTGATATTTTGGGCACACAGATTCCTCTATAGGAAGCGATATACAGAAACAACATGGATCTTACAGTTTTATCAGGACAATGCAAGTAGCTTTCGGCAAGGCTGGTTCCAACTCATCTGTGATAAATGAGAAGATAAGGCAATCAGTGCACACCATGACACTCCGTGCAGCTAGTTAGGCACACTTCAGAACTATTCAGGTGTGCTCACAAAGCTTATGAGACTTGCATGGGGGGTGTCGCAATATAAATACATCCTTCATGGTGGCCACTGGTAATGCAGGAATTGCCTCTCTAAGACTTAACCCAGGTCAGACATAAATAATAGACGTTAAGAGTTAGCTGTGGTCTTGAGGCTGCATTCCAGGCAGTGTGTCTCAGTTGGGTCAAAGGAATTTTCCCATTCTTCTCTCCAATAGTTCCTCTGCTTGAAAAATGCCTGCAAAATTCCATCACACCTTTGCGGGGACCACTTTGGGTCTCTAAGGGAGAAGGTTTCAGCCCCTCGGGTGCTAAGATGTACATCCAAGGAGTTCTTGGGGCCTTGTATCAACGATTAAAGTCTGCAAAAAATTATTACAAGCAGGTGAGTCATCCGTCTTCAAAAACTACCTTATTATATGTATTTTTTTCAGATGTATTTGGTTCTATAGATTCAATGATTGGCAATGTGTTACAAAAGAACTGTGACATGTATTTTGTGAGCTCAGTGCCTGTAAGAGAGCCAGAATGCTTCTGGACTCTTGAAGCCTGGGATAATGGGGCTAATTGTGTCTGTCATTTGGTATGGGATGTCATATGTCTCATCTCTTCTCGCTGCTTACTCTGTAAAGCGAAAGCAGATCTTTATGTGGAAATTCTAGAGTCAGTTACCCTATGGAAGGAAATGAATGGATCCCCACTCATCTGAAAGCTTAGAACCCTAGTTTTTCCTCCTGGTGTAAACTAACCTCACTATTGTAGAAGTGGGTCTAAAACCAAATCAGATTCTAGAGAAATGAATTGTGAATTAACTCCACCTCAAGAGTAACTTACTTCACTCACACTTATTTAACTTAGATATTTCAGAATTGGACTAAATTAAACTCGATTTTACTTTTTAATATCTGTGTATTCATTATATAGTTGTGTGTTTTGTGTGTGTGTGTGTGTGTGTGTGTGTGTGTGTGTGTGTGTGTGTGTATAATGACAGATATTTTTGCAATAACTTTTGGGACACTTGATTTACTTAAAGAAGGATTTATATTGTAAACAGAATGTTGCAATTTTGATAATAAAAAAGAAGCTGTAACATTAAAAAAAAAAAAAAACTTCCCTCTTAGACTTAAGTGAAACCAACCTTTTCCTGTGGTAAGTAAGGATGAGCTTTATATTGTGAATTCGGAGCTTCCATTTTAGAACTTGGCTCATTATCTCAGGCCACAGGCTGTTGAAAAATGAACATTTGAAAGCATCTCACTATCCTTTGCATACAGAGAGGAAGGGGAGGGAGGCATGGAATGAAAGTCTTGGTGTTCACACAGCACCTCCTGCTGTCTGCTCAGAAAAGGGCAGCTCACGATGTGTGGAAGAAAGTTCAACAAAGTGCTCAGAACTTCCAATGGTGTCTCAGAGAAACTTTACAGGCAACGTGTATTTAGTTTGCTTTTTAATTAATTTCAGTGAACCAGGGAGGATTAATAACTACTATAGATATTTTGACTAAAATTCAAACTTCTTTATGTTTTATTAGGCTGTCATATACAAAAACTAGTATAATAACTATGGTATTATCTTTAACTTATTTTATATTTAAATATTAATGTTCAACATATATTGATATCATCAAATGGATTATGACTTGCTGAATTATAGTTGTTTATTTGCTGTTGTATATTTTGGTTCCACTTACTGGAGGGTTTAAAGTTATTTAATGCTTAAAAAAGCCTATGTCCTTTTTCTAATGCAAGAAAAGCACTGTTTAAATAAAATCTGGAGGTAAGCACTTTCTAAGTGTCATTGGAAGTGAGGGTTGGGGAGACAGAGGCATCTGGACAGCAGCAGCCTCTCTCATTTCTGCCGCTCTAAACACTGAAACATCCAACTGGCCTCAAACATTAAACTTAAGAGTTCAGTACATTGTGGGGGGAAAAGGGCCTTGAAGATTGCTGCTTTGATTTAAAGAATGCACTACTCAAAATGATGACCAATGTATCTGATTAAATTTTAAATGTAAACATGAACAAAATTTCACAATTTTAGTTTGTCCCAAGTTGTCTATTTAACTACTCTGTAAGAATTTCAGTGGTACTCTAAGTTTAAGAATCCTTAAAAATCTAGTTTCTTTTCTATTTCTTTTCCAGATTTATCTCTTATTACATTGTAACAATGTTAAGCTTCGCATTATACATAAGTTTTATAGTAAAGTATACAGATAAAGCCAAGGAAGAATGTCATGAATTTGCAAAAATTTTCTATTTTTTTAGTCGTGTTTAGTTATATATATTTTGTGTCTCTTTTCCATGGCTTTAATGTTTTAAAAACTCACTATAGTGGTACTGTTACAATGCCACCACGGGCCAAGTGTTAAGCCTGACAATATCTTTATTTTATGAGTAGGAGTTCATATCAAATGTCCTCCTCAGCATTAATGAGCTTTATTTGAACTGCATTACTTCATTTGACCTTCCAGAAAGCCGTTTTTCTGTAGTGTTCTGTCTAAGTGTGTTAAGGAATCGTTAGACAGGTGACATGTGAATGAATGATGGCTCCTGTTTTGTTAACAAGTCTTGAGTTTATTAAATTGTAGGACTGTATTACCTCTTGATATCATTTCCACTTATGCCACTTCTGATACCCCATGTGAAAACCATGCTGTTTTGTTGTCTGTCAAAATATAGTGGATTTAAAATGTTGATGTTACCAAAGGGACTTCTCTTAAACAAACTGTTACATGATAACTTTAAAGGAGAAGTCAGGGCTACTGGTTTTGTATTTATGAACCTACTCATTTTTTTTTTCATTTTAAACTTTAGCTTGGTATTATAGCATGCAGCTGAATTAAGCACATTACTTATGGTGGTCTTAAATATATACTGTTTGTGAGTAATAAAGTGAGATATTATACTTAAGACAGCTTAAAGTCACTTAGTCTTCCATTTATCACATGTATTTCCTTAAGAGTGGAAACATCTTAGAAATCGCTGAGAGCTAAGCAGAATCTGCTTAATTGGTAATCTTTGAAACAGCATAACCGCTTTTCGATGAAATGTAGTTAACACTTTCATCAGGGCCAGCTCCAGCTCATTAGCATTCTTGTTATGTACTGGTGCTGTTGGTGGGGGTGTTGGAGTAGGAATGCCATTGTGTCGAGTTCCAGTGTTTGGGGACAAACACTGCTGTGGAAGGAACGTGTGAAAAGGCCACAGTCTTGTCAGTGAATGAGCAAGGCTGTGCTTTCTGTGTGCTTCAAGCAGGGGAGCTGTCATTCATGGCTAACACAGCCAAACAGAGGCCAAAACACAAGGCTGCACTACCTTTTAAAATGATATTAGTGATTTTTAAACGCGATCTTCTTTATTTATGATCCTACACAGAGCTTTAGTTGCTGTCAGTAAACAAAATATGTCAGTCTGTTCAGAAATACTGTAAAAATGAAAAACGTCCATGGAAGTGTGCCAGGCAGCTACAGTAATTAGGGCTTGGAATAGCTGATCGGCAGTGTGAAGGACAAACATGATTTGGGGAAAACTTCATCTCTGGAAGCCCCTTGTCTTCCTGATTTAGATACTTCTTTGCTTCCTGCCCCCACAACTAACAAATTCCTAGAGTTTTACATAATTAATACAGCACTTTGTCCTTCATTAAAAAATATCATTTTTGAAAGGGTCCATAAGCTCTCTATTTTAATAATTTAAAACTGTTAATGACCGTTTCAGTTATTAGAGCTTGTACAATCACTCCTGAGTGTCAGGAACCCAGGAACTGAGGAAATGGCTGCCCCACCCTCCTGATGGACGCCTTAACTCTGGGCTTGTAGCCACTGCTGGCGGACACAAGGTGCTTTTATCCTGTAACTGCGAAGTCGTACTCCTTCATTTTTAGCACTTTGGAAAAGAGTGATCAACTTCGAGTTAAATTTTAGCTTATATAAAACAAAATGAATAAAAAAAAACAACCCTCAAACATTTCTTACAATCTGGAGGCATTTCCTAAACTTCACCTGAATAATTGAAACACACAAGCAGTTTCTTTTTATGTCTGAAAATGCAGGACAGCATTTTATTTCTTTAGTTTTATTTTGAAAATGAGTACTTGGGCTATTTATAAAAACTCATTACTTAGTCAAGTTTGTTGAGAACTATGATTTTGGTCTGGGTGACTTTAATATTTTTGTATGTGTTTTTTTTTTAAGGAAAAACTAATTTAAACAAAGTAATCTTTGTCAGTGTATTCATATGCACTTTTAAAAAATTTAATATTTGAGGCACTGGGTTGAGAAGTCCAGACATTGAATTTCTATTTAAAAACTTAGTTTTCACTGTTTAAATTGCAGCTATATTGTGGTTTTGCTTTATTAGCATATTATTAAATAAGGAAATAACCAGATAATTTCAGTATGTGCAGGTTTTACAGTTCAAAATTGAAATATATTTTATTAATATCCAAATTAAGATTTTCATAATCTTTTACATTTAAAAAATTCATAAGCCAAAATGAATAACTTTAATGATACTTTCAATATAATTTTATAGTTTTATAATTATATATTAAATATAACAATATTGTTCTCATAAAAAATGATCCAGCTCAAAATATACTTGAGTTGCATTTAGCACTGACAGAAATTTGTTTGTTAGAAAAAGAGAAGAAAATTTAATATTTCATTTTCCTAAAAGAAGTGTTTGAAACCTGTCCTTTTTGGATCCTTTGTTTAAGTTCAATTGAAATCAGTCGTTAGTCTTTGTCTTACCAAGAGACTGTGCATTTCTGTTTCTCCCTTTATCTGTATGTACTGGACACAGCAAATCAAGTGGAGTGTTGCCTCGGGTTAGCCTTTCTGGGATGAAACTCAAAATGTTTGGCTTATGAACAACCTTCTTAATGTCCTTTGAAATCTCTGATGGCAGTCTCTAATTCCTATGCGTGAGTCACCATCAGGCCTATGAGAACAAAGTGCTGTCATTTCGAACACGTAAAACTCCTTTAAGGTTCTTACAGGGAATTTTTTTAGCATATTAGATTGTTCGCAGATTCTAGGGATTGTTGATTTTCCCGTGAAACCAAGCTGCATTCTAGTTACTTGAAGTATTTTAAGAACCTTAAACTTGTGTCTTTTTCTAAGTGTCATGCTTTGAGCAGGCCTAACATCAGTTAAATGAAGTGAAAATTGCATTCTTGTCTTGATAGAGATGAAAATGGATTTCTGGTCATGAAATAGATGTAGTTGTCACTTTTTAAAAAGGTGTCAGCAGTTTGCTTCAGCGAGTAAGGTGCCAATTCAGTATGGCAGTAAACTTGTGATCTGAGCAATCAATAAAAGGCTTCAATAACTTCTGCTTCATTACACTTATAATAAGAGGCTATAGATCCACGGCACATAAAATG